GAGGATCCGCGAATTTCCGCGAAATATGACATGGCGAGTTCTCGAACCGTATGATTCAATTAGCTGTGCACTGGGGGAAAAAAATCTTATTGAATCTAGAGTCCAGACTCTTAAGACATCGACAAGAAAAAGTACTCTTGATTCAATCAGAATCTAGCTTAAATCAAGAGCCAAGCCTCTTAATTCAAGCGGATTTCGTTTTGATTCAAGCAAAAATCCGATTGAATCAAGAGTATTATTTCTTGTCAATGTTTTTAAGAGTCTGGATCCAATGTGTTTGTTTTTCCAGTGTGTGCCAATTATTTGGTCACTGGCAGCAAAGAGCAAGTTTTGTATTCCGCTCTGCATCCATCGATGCGGCCATCGATGTCCAGTGACGTCATCGGCCGTTTAGTATTCGTTGCCCTCAACGGAGAATCCCCCGTGTCCAGCGTGCGTTCCCGTGCGTTGTTACCTTGACCGATATCTCCCCGCCCCCGACTTAGCTCCGTTTGTCCCGCCACTGACCTGCCGCATTCGAGTTGCTAGTAAGACTTCGATGGAGGATTTATGGATTTTCTCATTGGTACACTTCATCGGCCGATCGGTTCATTTATCGATTATGGAGTTCACGTAGAGCCGGTTTCATACAATGAGGTAAAATTGGAGTATAGTGGACAGGTCAGAAAGAATGTGGTGAATCAGAATGGTGGTGAATGGGTGAATCAGCATTGAATGGAGTGCTTGCGCACAAGGAGGAATTTTAATGAAATCGTTTAATCTCAGGTAAAGCTCGTTAATATTTATGCTCGTTTCGTCTGAAATCATCTTTTAGGCTTTAAAAAGCGGTTTAAGGTGTGACCGTGTTGTAAAACTATTACTTTTTTGACTGTGTAAGAGAGTCAACGTTCATTTTCAATCATATTTTTCGTGCAGAGCAGCAAAACGGTCTGACGCAGCAGCCAAATAGACACAAGTTGGTTGATTGTATGATCAGCGGAAGGTGACGTCATTTTTCTCACCATAAATCAGAAGCATGTGCTGTACTGAAGATGGGTCCGATTAGACCCGAAACGCGTCTTCAGTTGATTTACCATTACGGACGTAACTGATGTTACGCCTAAGTGGAAAATTTAGAAACTATTCCTCTCAGAATATCTGGAAAATTATTCTCTTTGCGAGATTATCCCGCTGCAGTGAGAAAAATGACGTCACCTTGGGCTGACCACACAATCATTTCAACTAACTCGCGTCTAATATGAGAATTCCCATCCTTTCCGACGCAATTTTACGCTCCTTACGACGATTCGTCGCCCCTCCGACTCGAGGGCGCACCCCAATCTCTACGTGAGCCTTGTTTAACATATAAATCTATGCTCTCTGGGGCTCATGTACAAATCGAGATACGCCCTTACGCTAGAGGAGCGACGAATTGCATTCCCACGAAATCTGACAACCCTGCTCGGACGATTGGCGGGAACGGCGAAACCTCCCGCTTGGGTGCGACATAACTCACGGCTACTTACATGGCACAACCGGCGCACAGTGGATCGAGTCAGTAGGTGAGGTCGGACAAAGTCTGGAAACGTTGAAAGCTTTTACTATCGAAAATATGGAGCAAAAAAGTTTAAGACTCGTTTCGTTGGGTTTTTCGTAAAAATTCCGTTGAAGAACACCCCTTGAAATAGAATTTGTGACGAAATAGATTGAAAAATTTGAAATTTTAACCAGAAATTTCATGTCCGATTTCTTATATTAGCTCGATCCATTGTGCGGCGCAGCGTTTTGCCGAGCGGAAAACGTCGATTTATAAACATGCCCGAATCCAACTCCAACGTCCACGGATCATGAATCCTAATCCTCATCCGGAAGCGAACAGCGCCAAAGCGAGCAACTTTCCGCCATAAACGGAGCTTTACACGCTTCCGTCCCCGTCGTTTAACCAGCACCAACGGAGGGTCAATCAAGAGGGTTGAGTCTGCCCGGGACATACTGCCGTGCTGAGGAAAAGTGCCGTATGACCATGCAAGTGTTGCCAAAACTTCCCTCAAAAATACAATAATTTTTTTTAAAAAAGTTACAAATATTTTACAAATATTTGTATCTCAAAATTTTTAGATACTTTAAATTTTATTGCACTGGAAAAAAACACATTGGATCTAGAGTCCAGACTCTTGAAAACATTGACAAGAAAAAAGACTCTTGATTCAAGCAGATTTAAGCTTAAATCAAAAGGAAATCCGCTAAAATTAAGAGGCTTGGTTCTTGATTTAAGCTTAAATCTGATTGGATCAAGAGTATTTTTTCTTGTCGATGTTTTAAGAGTCTGGACTCTAGATACAATGTGTTTTTTTTCCAGTGTGGGTAAAAAATTTGATGAAAAATCAGAAGAAAAGTATTCGAAAGTTCTTCAGAAAATTCGCGTTTTATAAAGAGGAATTTTGCAATGTCTGAAGGTTGATATGGCGTTTTTACTTACCATAGCTGCAGCGTAGTGGAATTTCTTCTTTCATTTTTTGGACGGATTTAAGTAGAATGAGCCTAGCTACATCACACGGTGCCTTTTCAAGGAAAATAATTATAAGTAACGTTCTCAAAGACAATACATTTTAGAAGCGCATACTAGCGAATTATTTGTGAGGATTTGTTTTCGTGTCTTGGCACGGAGCTTAATGAAGGAAATTCAAAACGCCTTCATTTTCCAGGTATGCAATGTGGACATCCACAAAGGTCGAATAGTGGTATCAAGGCGTTATTATCGACTCAGCGCCGCGTAGCGTTAAGTTCTCTGCCTCTCCTGTGCATGAATGGTACATTGACGGTGAGACTGCGAAAATGTGAATATTGTTTGTGGTATTTCAATATATCGGCATCCATTTTATTTACCTAACCAAAGGAGATTGAAGCAACACTATGGCGTAACTTTTTCACAGAATATCCTTCCTCAAAATAATCTTAAAGTCGTGCAGAAGATCTTATCTTATCTTCAATTATATGCACCCCTGAGAATTAGAGAATATTGCAGCGTGAGGAAATTCGTGATTTTGTGAGTTTGTTACCAACCGCGTGGAAAGCTCGGTGAGAAATGTAGCTCTGGCTACTGGATTTTCGGGTAATCGTATTATTATTGGGTATTTGGTAACCACTTATATCCATTTGCAGCCTGAAGGAACGTTTTCTCCCTTTTTCCATGGGCGTTCACCCGGGCATGTGCTTGTGCATGTCGAGGGCTGAGGATCAACACCACCCGACAATTTTGACAAAAATTAGTTAGCGACTTTGCCGTATTTTGCATTATAAACTATGCAAACTGATGTTTTTAGTTCTACAAATCGCACAGAGGAGCACTGTAATGAAGCTGTATTGTATGAAAAAGTTGCAAATCTAACCTACAAATATATGCACAAAAACGGCGAAGTTTCCTCTTCGTCCTGTAAAATTTCCAGTTCGTAGATAGGCGGTATTCATTGGTAAAAAAAACCTCTTGGACCAATGCCGCATTGCATTGACTTAAGAGCGCAGTTTCTTGTCGCCGGATTTAAGAGTCTTGAACTCTTGTTTCCAGCGGATTTTGTATTCATTCAAGCGGATTTTGCATTGAAACAAGAGTCCAGACTCTTAAATCCGGCGACAAGAAACTGCACTCTTTAACCATGAGGTTTTTTTTACCAGTGTTGTCCCTTAGCCATCAACGTGCATTTTAAATTCAAGAGGATAATACCAGTAAGTGCATAGGAATCACACTCCACTGTGAGGCTATAAAACTCGCCGTATGGAAAAAGTTAGTCATTTTCCGGAGAGGGAGATGTGCCACGGCCCGTTTATCTTGCTTTCCCACGAATTCTAGGGAAAACGCCCGGGCGGCTCAACTAATGATGCATCGCTGAAAAACTTTATGGGCCCGGCGAGGGCTTCTCGCATGATGCTCGCGGCTGAATAAGAAATGAATCTTCATCTTGTCGAGGGAGCGGAAAGCGGTTTATACGATCATCATTATTTAAGTGAGACGAGTTCCCCCTCTCTCCCCCCCCCTCCCTTCTATCGGGCGGGGCCTTTCAGTGTATTCCGGGTTGAAAGAAAACTTTGGATCAGATGGCGCGGATAAGGGGTGGAGATAATGTCATACTTTCGTGTAATAACTTGAAATAAAATATAGGAATCTTTCGTCGAATATCGTAACGGTGGATTGAAGCAAATGTGACTTTTGGCGAAAGCACCCTTGAATACCCAATGCAGGAGCAATTCGCGCAAAATAGCATGAGCTTCTTAGTTTAAATATGTTTCAAATAATTGGTACTCGTCGGAGAAGACTGTTTCATTTAGAATGGATTATTCGTAATGACTTTAAGAGGGCTGCAAACGGTATCACCATTTGCGGATAATCGCCACGTTCCCGCCCGACCCTAATTCTGCCGTGCTAAGGAAGAACGCCGTATGAACATTCGAGAGTTGCCAAATTTCCTTCGATAAGATTTTTATTTTTGAGGAAAGTTATGAATATTTTTCCTTGAAATTTTCAGGGACTCCAGGTGAAATCGCGAACAATATTACCTGAAAAATTGGAAGAAATATATTCATGAGTTTACCAGGAAATTCGTGTTGTATCAAAGGAAATTTAACAACGCCTGAAGGCTCATACTACGTTTTTCCTTAGCACAGCAGAATTGCACAACAACGCTCTGAATATGATTTTATACATCTATAAAAACAGTGAAATGTTTTAAATGTGTTCCTTAAAATTGTGAAAAAAGAATATAATTCATGAACGACGGTGGAACGATGAAGGAGATAGGTATGGTGACAAATCTGCGTCTTCGTATTATTTTAAGTCATGTTTTAAACGTTTTAAAAATATTTTAGAGTTCATGCTCTCTAAGAAATATAAAAGGCAAAAGTTCATAGATCAGGTTCACAGCACTTGATTAAAATCAAAGGAAGCACTTGGACCAGATAAATGTGTGTGCCTACCATGACTTCAATTATTCCTGCTTTTAATGTTGAAATGATTTTTTTGTTCGCAGAAATGGGGTGCTTCGGAAGCAAAGACAAACTGTCAAAAGAAGACATGGATTTTTTAAAGTTGCACACACGATACGACGAAGCAACGATAAAAGAATGGTACAAAGGATTTAAGGTAAATTCGATTTTTTCCCTCACTTCACACATACACTATCTGTTGCACATCTGTTGAGTGCAGAAAGGGCTGAAAATAAAGAGTCGGAGAAAATTGGATCAGCGAGATGCGCTTTCTGCTCTCGCAGTATTGCACAAAGCGTCGTTTCCCGCACGAAGGAACGTAACTCCATTCCAAGGTTGCAAAATTGACTCAAACAATTCAATTTTTTACGATAATAAATCTGCATAGTTTTCTTTCAAAATTTGTCTGATTTTTGCTTGAGATTAGAACAAAAATTAGTGAAACTTTCAGTCAGATTTTCTCAAAATTCTCCTGGTAAAAATGCAGTTTGTGCGGCAAAATCTGGCAACATTGAAATGTAGTCGCGTTCTTTCATGAGAGAAACTAAAAAAGGAATGCATTTGAGTCTACTGGTATCTTCCGGTTATTGAATATGTGTTTTTTTTTACTCTTAATTCTGAGGAGTGAAGAATAGGATAAAATAATATGCAGATTTTGAAATATTCGACAGAATTTCGTGCTAACTACGATGTGACATGTGGTATAAAATGATTTTTAGCGTAATTGATAAATGATGAGGATGATTCTATACTTGGCAGGATCATCGGAAAGTCGCCCTTTGGGAAGGGTTAAGGAATTAACGGATGCGAGCAAAAACAATTAATTAGTACCCTTTCACGGTTCAGCACCGACTAAAGGCACAAAAACACGCAATCCCGCTGAGCAATGGTCTATGCGGTGTAAAAACTTTATTACTCGCCTGATAAAATACAAACGCCCCATTATCTGTGTATTTTTACACTAAGTTTTGGGCTTTACCTCTTGCAGGGGCTGAAGGTTAGAGCGGATTGAAAAGTTGACTAAAATTTGAAAAATTGTAGGGAATTAGCAAGTTTTCTTTCAATTCAGCTCTTAGAAAGAATCTCACCGTACAAAATTGAGGCCTAGTTTTTAATGAAATTTACTTCATTCACTCTCTTACACTCTGTATTATGTTTTTAATAACATACTTAAACTTAACCAGGCGATTCTAACTGTCAAATTACTATAAATTTATCGAAAAATAACCTCTTTTTAAATATTTTCGAGGAAAAACACGTGAAGAGCCAACTTAGGACATACATTTTGGAATATTATAAACTACTAATAATTCTGGCTCATTTTAGAAACAACATAAGTGCCGTTAGTTTCCCTGTATTCAAACGTTGAAGTACAATTGTTGCCAGTAAGTTAAGCCTCCTAAGACCTGCAGATTTCATAACTTTAATAGTGGTTCAGTCTTGAACCGATTTTAACTTTTCGCATTTTTCTTTTCTTACAGCCAACAATCGCGAAAAAAAATCTCCCTTTTGCAGCATGCAATATTTGTAAAAAAATTAGAACTCGTTCATGAGTCATTTAATGGTGTTAGTGCAGCGCTCGGGCGACTCAAATTAAAACTTGAAATGAAGAGTCAATTTGCCATCGGGTTTCTACCTCTTCTAAAATAAATGGCATGACTTCTTGCCTTGGGGACGTAGTAGGACAGCTAGGATTAGTTGTTCGATCGACGAATAATACGTCTTCAAAATGAAAGCACATAGTAACCGCGGAAAGACATACTTGTAAGGGTCTGGAGCATGGATGGGAAGAGGCGATTGAAAAAATGGAAATACCACGAACAGAGAGGAGCGAAGCGTCTGAACGGGTCCCTCAGTTCGAGTTCAGTTTGATCGATAGAATAAACATTCGGGCCCTTGCGAAGGCATCTTTACCCTGCTGAACAGAAACCACGTAACTGATAAGATACTTCCACGAAAAAATGAGGTTCTTGCCTAGCGAGGAGTATCGGTTGCTTGTTGCGCCGTGAAACCAGACGCTAGGCAACCCGCAAGACGGACTGCATGCATTACGCCCAAGTGCACCTTGGAGAGATTCCCGCGGCGGCGGGTATTCTCGAAGTCGTTCATCTTTCGCGTTTGTATCCTCCTCTAATGAGGTTAGCGTGGCTTTTCTTCTTCCTTGTATTATTTCATATGCTCGATGAGACTGCTCTCAGTGACAATATACAGGGTGTTTAGGGTTTCAGTAGGTCGAAATAAGTCTTTTTTCCTCCTAGGTTCCCCCCTCCTCCTCCCCAAAATCGCTCCCTAGTAGCATTACGGTCTAGGGTTTCAAGAAAGTTTTTGACACTCATAGTCACAGTTTGTTGAAGCTAGGATTGTATTTAGCTAATTGGTAATTTTTATAGGAGAATTAAAAATAATTGAGTGATACTAAATACAACAATAGGAATTCAAATCAACAATACAATTTAAGAGAGTATAGTTAGAAATGCATTTCAACGATGAAACTGCCAGACCACGTATCTCGTTTGTGGTGTTTAAAACTTTCTGCTTTCATTTTATTTTTTTGTCGGAGAACAAATAAATTTCATTCCTTGAAGTTTTCACAGAGTTTTCTTCGCGAGGAGAGGAAAAATTTTGGAAGTTTTCAAAAATTGACGTTGAGCAGTTTTCCATGTAAAAAAATAAAGTATGGCAGGAAGTCTACAATGTCGCAAACCAAGATACGTGGTCTGGGAGTTTCGCCGTCGATATAAAACGCTTTAATAGAACGAACACACATCCAGGACGTTTCTAGCAAATTACGCATTGATTCTCAGCTAGAAAATCATCTATAAATAAAAGATTAAAACGAAGAGATGTGCGCAGACTGTTGTTTTAGCTCGTCTAATTGGTCTCTCCAATGATCGTGTGCTTCGAACTGTATGCAACCCACAGATTCCGATATCAAAACTTGGCAGTTTTAAAAACGCCTTCAATTAGGGCGTGATACCGTACGCATTCCGGAGAGCACGAATAGTTGTATCGTTGCGCCTTACCAATGCGACGGAAGCGTAGCCTCCAATTAATCGCAAAACATTTCCCTTTAGCACGATTGAGGTTGTCTATTTCATTTTTTGTTGGTAGGGTCGACATTTTTCCTCCGATGTTGTGCCCTGACGCATTAAAATGCGAATTTGCCCACGGAGGCAGGATGCCTCCGAAATCGCAAAAATGAAAATAGTCTCGAGCGAGTCGCATCACACCGATACTTCCGTCGTCCTTTAGATAATTTTGAAGGGTAGAAATTCCACTGCCTTGATTTGAAGGAATAGATAGAAGTGAGGGAGGGGGGGACCATTTAATTAGACAAACCTGAAGTTAAAAGGGCATTTTTTCGGCAATTTCTTTTTTTTTCGTCTTCCTCATTTAATTGTTCTGTTTATGGTGAAAAAAAATGACTCATTGCGTTTAAAATTGACCCAGTCTGTGTGGAGGGATAAGGCACTATTTAACGTTTTGACTTTTTGTATATATTCTTTACTGTTTTATAGTTTCCCTCGAAACTTCTTTAATCGTGATGTCAGTTTTTTTCCCACCTAAAACATAACATAACATCCAAGTTTGGTACCCTTTATTTTTGCGTGTCTTGGTTTTGCTTCATTGATCCGAGTCTGTTTACTTTTTATTCCGTCTCTATCTCGCAATAGCAGCAAATCTATACGACTCATTTGTCGCTTTTTTCCGGTTGAAAATGAGATTATTATCTTTCAAAACGTCCTGGTTTTTACTTTCTCGCTCCCCTCGCGGGTAGAGGCAGTATTGTATTCGTCAAAGAAAAAAAAAATGGTTGACGTTTTTTGGATTTTCCGATTCTCTGCGTTTCTTGTAGCATCTTTCCAAATCAATTGTTATTTTACCATGCGCATTGGCTGATTAAGTCATTCATTATTCTAAAACATAAAGTATGCGCGGGCATTTTGAAGCATTGCAATTATAATTGAGGTCGGTGGTTTTGATTTAACCGTTGTCCTAGTTTCTCAACTCGTGGAACATTTCCCCAAAAAGCCTTTTGAAAGGAACGCTCCCGTCGAAGCAGGACTACCGGGAGATCCATATCCATCTCCGCGTTTCGAAATAACTTCCTTTCTCTTCCGCGGAAGTTCTATTCTCCAGCCAATGAGAAGGGGTAATTTGAACCTTTTGCTGTCAGTGATGCTGAAACTCAATTCTAAGGGTGGGCAGAGCCGTTAATTCGTGCGTTGATTCCTCATTTGATCCTCTTAGCACTTGATTGAGAGCCTTTTATAAACCTTAATTGGCCCTTAAATCGGGCCCTTAATTGGCCGCATCTAAGGCTCATTTCGTCTCCTCCGAGGAAGTTGAAATGTTAAGAGAACACCGATTTCATTTTAGCTTCAGAACCCGTGATGAACTTTGAGATTTAGGCCGTCGTTACCCTCACGAAAGAACGTAACCACACGTCAATGTTGCCTAATTGAACGTATTTATGCCAAAAGGAACTATGTGCACAAGGTTTGCGCGAGACATAGTTCCTTTTAGCATGAATACGTCCAATTTTTCCTCGCGAATTGCATTTTTATCTGGAGAATCTCGGGTATTTTTAACTGAAAATTTTACAAAGTTTTTCTCTGATCTCGTGCAAAAATCAGAAACATAATTGGACGAAACTTTCACGCGTACATTCTTGTAAAAAATTAAATTGTTTGAGTCAAGTTTGCAACCTCAAAGTGGAGTTACGTTTCTTAATACGGGAAAGAACGTTGTGTCTCATAGTAACTCATATCATACAACTCCTTTCTTCATTTCAGACTCGAATATTCACGTAATGATCAGAAGGGGTTTAACGAGTTCTGTCAGTAGAGGGAAGGTTTTAATTCGAGTTGAGGGAATTATGAACGAAATAACCGAATGAGTGACTCCTCTCCTAGAAGTTAGAGCTTAAGTAGGAGTGGAATCACACATACTTTCAAAATGCTAAATCTTGGCCCGTGGACTAAAATTTATAGTATTTAAGGAAGAGGAAAATATAAGTATGGACGATTGTCTCTCTAATCAGCCTGTCTGGTACCTTATTTTCTTTTATGTTTAATCATTCACTAAGCAACATGTCACCTTGCATTTTTTGTAATAAAAGTCACTTGGGCCATAAACTGTTTAACTGCAAAATTT